CCATCCTACTCCAGGATGACCTCCTCTTGACTTCACTACATCTGCGAAGATTCTATTTCCAAATCAGGTCACATTCAGAGATATTCAGGTTAGGACATCCACACATCTTTTTTGGGAGGACACAATGCAACCCACAACAGTCCATTAAGAACAAACATCCAGAGAGCCTGGCTCTGCCCCCGTCCATGGTTCCATCCTCTTCCTCAGCCGGTCTGCTCTGTCCTCATTGTCTGGGCTAACAGCTCTTAAACAGCGGTCTGAGCCCGATGGGCGTCTGGATGGGAGTTTTTGCGGGGCCTCCTCCAGGGCTGGCGGGTCTTGGATATGTTTATTACAGTACTAAATCCACTTGCTTTGGCAGAGACTTTGTTTAGTTGTTTTGTTTGTGTGTTTATCTCTTATGTATTGAAGGAGGAGACTCACATCTTAAAAAACAAGAATTTAAGGCAGAGATGCAGAAAATAAGGGGGGGGGGCTCATTCGGGAGCAGATGTTCCCTGCCTAGGATGCTGGCCGGCCTCAGGCTGGCCTCAAAAGCCTGGAGGAGCACTCGGGCCTGGGGACGGGAGGGGAACTGATCGTTCTAAGAGATACTCGGATGTGGGAGGAACTCCTTGGGGACAGATAAAAGGAAGGGATGTGAGCATCGAGCATCCCTGCACTGTTCAGCCCGCTGGTGTCTACTGCAGCCTACACTACAGGGAGTCAGAGGAAGGAACAGGCTAGAGTTGTTTTATTGACTTTTCAGCAATCTCTTTATAATGCCTTATGGGTTTGGTGATCAAATAGTTTCTCATTTTCATAGTGAAAAGTATGCTGTTAATAATTACACCCAGACAACAGGCAAAAACTGGAAATATGCCAGGCAAAGTGGGGTGTATGATTATTGTAATCAGAGGAAGAAACATTTTTCTGACTTTACTACCTTTAAAATAGCTGGTCTTAGTGCATTTTATGGACATGGTGACTCCGTAACTGATTGTGTTTCCTTCTTTGCGTTGGCTTCTAGGAAGATCAGAGCCATATTTGTGGTCTCCCTTTTGAAATTGTGCAGGAGTTACCAAATGTATTTCTGCATACTTTCACCAACTTCCTTTCATTCTTCAACCCTCATTTCTTTTTCTTCTTCCTAACATCTTATTTTTAAAATCTTATTGTATTTATTTCATAACCAGTTTAGAAACGATGGGTAGATGAATAGATGTCTGGATGGATGAGCGAACATTTGGCTGAATAGATACATGAGTGCGTAGGTGTTTGGATGTGCTTGGATGTGTGTGTGTGTGTGTGTGTGTGTGTGTGTGTGTGTTTGGATAGATGGCTGGGTGTTTCAATCAATGAATAGATGGATAGGTGGTTAGCTATGTGGATGGATAGATAAGTGAATGGAGGTTTAGGTGGATGAATGTTTAAAGAGCTTATTTATTTATTTTTAGAGAGAAGATAAGAGAGGGAGAGAAACATTGATAGGAGGGAGAAACATCAATTGGTTGCCTCTTGCATGTGCCCCGACTGGGAACAAGACCCACAACCCAGGCATGTGCCCTGACCAGGAACTGAACCGCCCACCTTTCATCTCATGAAAAACACCTAACCCACTGAGCTACACCGGTCAAGAAGGATGAATGTTTTGATGTTGTTAGATGAATAAAAGGATGGGTGTCTTGCTGAATGTTTAGATGGTGGATGCATGTTTAGCTGTATGAGATGTTGGCTGGATAAATGAATGGGTGAATAATAGATGACTGGATGAACAGAACGATGGTCAGCTGACTGGGTTTTTAGGCAGATTCTGCATGAGCAGACAAATGGAAGGATGGCTCGGTAGGTGTTTGAACAGCTGGCTAGGACAGTGACTAGATGGATGGATAATGGGTGGGTGAACAGGTGTTTGGATGAATGGATGCATGGCTGTCTGGCTGGGTAGATGGATTGGGGGTGTGTGTGTGTGTGTGTGTGTGTGTGTGTAACAAGTGTAAGGATGAATGGAAGAATGGGTGTTTGGATGATTGGATACTTTCTTGGTACACAGTGTAAATGCACCAAGAGTGAAATAATGTGTATAAAGTACCTTGCCACCCTGCCTGTATGGCTCAGTTGGATGAATGTCACCCAGGTACCCCAAAAGGTTGTGGGTTCGATCCCCGGCCAGGGTACACATGAGAGACAACCAATCAATGTTTCTCTCTCACATTGGCGTCCCTCTCTCTCTCCCACCCTCTCTCTCTAAAACTGATAAACATATTCTCAGGTGAGTATTAAAATAAAATTAAAGTACTTTGCCAATGCCTGGCATGTCATGGGCAGTCTAACTTATTAGACAGGACATGGGTTTTCTAGACCAAAAGACCTTTGTTCTGATCCTTGCCCTACCACTTACTGCATGACCTTAAGCAATTACCTAACCTCCCTGCACTTTAGTTCGCTCAACCATAAATGGAGTTAAGATACCTACTCCAGAGGGTTGCTAAATAGGCTGGTATATGTTTCAGTAGATACCTGCATACTTCCTTCTGAGGTATGAGAGGGAGAGAGAGGGGGGCAGGGCAGAGAGAGAAAGTGAGGGAGAGTACTTTTACCTAAGTGTAAAATAAAAGTCCCCTCCCTCAGTCAGACTTATCCAACCTATGTCATGTGCCCACCCTGGGACCACCAGCAGTTGCTAATGCCATGCACTGTTTGGTTAAGGTTGATCAGACTCCGCTCTCAGAGTTGAGACCAGACCACCTTCTCCAGAGAATCACCTTCTCAAATGAAGGGTAGTAGGGAAGGAACAGTTTGGGGGCTGCTGGTTCAGATCAGATGAGATGGTACTGTGCTGACAGGAAGCAACTAGTGGGCAGCCTGAAACCATGTAGAAACACCATGCATTAGTAGTCGATTAGATGTCAGTGGAGGGTGGAAAAATATTGATACTTACTGGATGGGGCACCCCAGAAAAGTGCGGGTTGATGAGATCAAGTTGGGCCATGCTGCCTTTGGAGTGCCTGTGGGAGATCCACGGGGAGCAGTGGTTGGATTAGTGTACCGGGCGCTCTGGTGGAAGGTCAGGGCTGCAGAGATTGGGAAGTAATCAATATCTCAGTCTTCATAAACCCACACGCCTTTTCAAACATAAAATTTTATATCCTCCTTTAGTGTTATTTAAAATTTCTAAGTGCGTTAAATATATGATTAAAACCAATTCAAATGACTTGCAGCATTGAGTCAGCATCGCAGCTGAAGCTGATGGCCACTGCAGGCGGGTTAGGAAGAAGTCTGTGCCTTTCGCGCCTTTGGAGGTCCAGGCTAGTTTGTTCTTCCCTCCCGTGGCTGGGTGGGCGGGCACCAGGAGCAGGCTGCATTGCCCAGGCCCTGCAGGAGCTCCCATGCTGCAGTTTTCACTTAAGTATCCCCTCGGCAGGGTTCCTGGCAGGCAAGTGTCCAGACAGTGCTTGGTCACCTACAGAGTCAGGGAGCTCACTACCTCCTGAGAGAGCTTGTCATCCAGATGGACCTGCCTGCCTGTGAACGTGAATGCCCCCCACAGCTTTGCCCCCGCTATGTGGAGCTCTGCTGTCCAGACCAGTGTGGAGAGCAGGGAGCTGGGTGGCTCCCTGGGCCGAGCTCCTCCAGCGCATGCTTGCGGGAGTGGCGGGGCTTGCCTTTAGTCCCTGCTCTTCCTCAGGCTGGCCCCACTCCAGCTTTCGTGGCTGGAACCCACCTCAACAGCCCTCTTCGACGGAGTAGGACACAGTTCACCCTCCCGCCCCGGCGTCGTAACACGTTCCGAGGCACTTCCGGTTCGGCTTACCTGAGGAACTTCCTGTTCCACTTTGGGATATTTCCGGTTCCGCTGTGGGGCACTTCCGTTTCCCCTTCCCTGCTTCACCTTGGTGCCTGCGGAGGTGTGGCTGGGTGTGGGTGGCGACCTACAAGCCCACGAAGCGTTCGCCCAGCGGAGCAGAAGGGCAGGCGTCCCCGGCCGTGCCGACGGTGCTCCCGTTCTCTGTGCCTCAGAGCTGACTTCCTCGCCGCTCCCAGACATGGCGGCCGGGCCTAGGCCCTCTCGGCCCCCAGGGCCAGGCTGCACTGCTTCGAACCCCACTTGTACTGCTTACTAATCGTGGGACCTTTGGCAAGGTCTTGGCCCCCCGTGCCTCCGTTTCTTCAGTGCCCTTGCGAGACTGGAATAATGATGACAGTGCCGAGGCCTCTGGTTACTGTGGGATTCTTAGAGATAATGACATATGGTGGCGTTGGCGGGACGTGGGTATAGAAGCAGCTCAGCTCGTGAAATGTTAACTGGGCGTGTTCCTGTTGTTCTCCAAGTCCCTCAAATCTCTCTGGAACGCCAGAACCAATAGTCCTTTGACCCCTGATGGGAAATGTTAAAAAAGACTAAAAACAGCAAAAAGGGTGACCTTTACAAAGGCTGTTGGCCGTTGTTTATGAGACAGAAGCCTTTGTTATAACAAAGAAACTGGAGCAGTAGAAATTCAGACTTCAGATGCTGATGTGGAAGGAAACTATTTGAGGGGAGTGTGTGGACTTAAATTCCAGAGGTTAGTTACACTTGATGGTGGTATGCAAAGTTCACTTTATTCTATACCCCCTACTTCACAAGTAATGAGCTCTCCACGCCTGGGAGGCCTTCAGATAGGCTGAGGAGACCCAGTTTGGGGGGCTTTTACACAGGGTCCCCACACGCTGTGACTGTGGAGAGGCTTTTGAGGGAGGCAGGGCTGGGCCTGATTCTTGCCATCTTCACTGTGGTGGGAGCGGGAAGATACCCCACACGTGTCTGGCACGTGGTCCTGCTCTGCAAGGCGGTGGCCAGTCTTGGTACAGAGCCAGGATCTTCATCTTTGTCATCTTGGGGTCCCCAGGCCGCAGCGAAAATTCTAGTGAATACCTGCGGAGTCATCCCTGAGCCACGTGTGTCCCGGTGGTTTCTGCAGTGGGGAGAGAGGGGACCCCAGGCTCTTCCTCTGACACCTCTTATGGCCCTCGTTTTGCAGACATCGACGAGTGTGAGAATGACTACTACAATGGGGGCTGTGTCCACGAGTGCATCAATATCCCGGGGAACTACAGGTGCACCTGCTTCGATGGCTTCATGCTGGCCCACGATGGACACAACTGCCTCGGTGAGTGCCGCAGCCGCGCCCGGCCCGCAAGGCGCCCTGCCTCCTCCTCGGCTCCGCTTGTAGCGCCGGGGCTGTGGGAAGGCTCGCTCTCCTTTGGTTGGTTCCTTGTCTTAGTTTGCTGGGGCTGCCACACTAAAATAGCACAGACTGAGGGGGGGGGCAGGGCGCGGGGCTTTGACAACAGGAATTTATTTTCTCACAGTTCTGAGGCTAGAAGTCTGAGGTCAAGGTGTTGACTGTTTCGCTTCTTTTCTGAGGCCTCTCAACTTGACTCGCAGATGGCCACCTTCTTAGGTGGTCGTCTTTCTATGTGTCCCTGTATGTGATGTCTTTCTGGGTGTTGTAATCTCCTCTTTTTATGAGGACACTAGTCATATTGGAGCAGGGCCCATCCTAAGCGATTTTTAACTTAGTTACCTCTGAAAAGGCCCTATCTCAAATACAGCCGCATGCTGAGGAACTGGGGATTAGGGCTTCAGCGAGATTTTTGGGGGAGCACAGTTCAGCCCATAGTGAGGATTCTTATATACCTCCAGAGTCTCAGGGTTCAATGATATATTTTAAGCTAGTTGTATAAGATACGAGTAACACAAGCTTGCTGGATAAAATTGGAAAAATGTAGAATAGGGACAAAAACTTGGGAAGCATCTTAGTTACGCTGGTGTATTTCCTTTCGCTCTTCTCTCTGCACCCAGGTGCGATTTCACTGTAGTGGTGAGCAGGTGGTCAGCATGGTGTTGTCCCTTGATTTTGTCTTTAATATCATGTGAACCTCAGGTAGGTTTACCTGGCCCCTGTTGCTGCCGTTTTTCTAGTTGCCTCCTCGTCTGATAAGCAACTACGTAATGAGTAACCTGAGGCTGCTGTGACAAAGTAAGAAACTGAATGGCTCAAACAATGGAAATTGATTCCCTCCCAGTCCGGAGGCCAGGAGGCTGAAGCCGCGTGTAGGCAAGGTTGTCCCTTTGGAGGGCTGCGAGGGAGAACCTGTCCTAGGCCTCTCCCCATGCTTCCTGTGGCCCTGGGTGTTCTTTGCTTGTGGATCACGTTGCCCCTGATTTTTGCATTGTCTTTGCTCTGTGCATTTCTGTCTCTGTATCCAAATTTCCCCTTTTCAGAAGGGCACAGCCATATTGGACTAAGGCTTAACCTAATGACTTCGTATTGATTGTTTGCAAATACCTTGTCTCCAGAAAAGGTTGCATTCTCAGGTACTGATGGTTTGGACTTCACCCGCTTTTGGGGACATGATTCAACCCAGAACGGAGGCGGTTTGCTGTCTAGAGCAGGAGGAATGTCTCACGGCAGAAAGCACATGGTCTCAAAGCGGAATTGCCTGTCCCCTACGCACTTGTCTCCTGCTGGCTGCTGGAGCCCCGGGGGTGAGACTGTGGGCTTGGCGGTTGTGTGGCTGTGAATGCGTTACTAATGCCTTTGGGCCTCGGACGCTCCTCTGCTGGTAAAGGGAGGGTGTGACGAGCAGCTGCCTCGCAGGCTGTTGTGAGCAGTAACCAGGACCATGTCCAGGCAGCTGAGGAGTGTGGGGACACAGCGCTGCCAGAACCGGTGGCTGTACTGTGGTCATGACCTCTGAGCCGTAGGCTTCCCCGCGGTCAAGCGGACACAGTGATGCTGCCTCTTCACCAGGTTGAGTGTGAGGGTGAAGTGACTGGCACTTAGTAGGTGCAAATATTAACAAACAGGCATTAGTATTACTCTAGGTGACCTGGCCACCCTTCAGTGGCCGTACATTTAGATTGTTTGCTTATTTTGTTTGTTTGTTTATGCCATCAGAATCTAGAGGTCATTCTGGACGTAAACCTTTTTTCCCCTTGTTTTTCCTGTTGTTGCCTTAGCTATTCTTCCCAGAAGTGGGACTGCTGGGTCCAAAGATCATTTGGATTCTTTGCGGCTTTCGCCGCAGCACTCCCTGAAAGTGCTCAGTACCCCTTCCTCTGTGCCAGCTGGTGCGCTGGCGGAGGGGCGGGGCATAGGGAGCGTGACGGCCCACGTGCTCTGGACTCTTCCCCTTCGTGATGTATTAGCCTTAGATTCCCTGCCTGTTTTTGTTTAATCTTATTGAATCTCAGATGAGCTGGTTATGGGAAACAGACCTGTGAATGTGTAATTACAGCCACAGTAAGGGCTGGAACAGGGTCTGGGCAGCAGGCTGTTGAAGCCCGGAGGGACCTGTGCAGGGCCACCCCTACAGAGGTGACAGTGGGGGTGGCGTGGGCCTGGCTCCTTCAAGGGGGTCTCTGGAAAGAAAGTTGCATTGAGCAGGATCTTCTGAGGTTGCGGCACAGCCTGCCGTGGTAGGGGCGCAGCCTGTGCAGAGCTCCCTGGAGGCCGGGCTCCGGGTGGGTGTCAGGAGCAGTGGGAGGTGGGTCTTGGGAAGGAGGCAAAACCTTTGATTAGGTTGTAAAGAATGGGCTGTACAACATTTATTGTGCCAGATGCCAGGCTGATTGTCCACATGTATCTGTTGAGTCCTCCTGGAAGTACAAGCCCTTGGCTTTACTCGTTTGCCCCTTTTTCAGATGCCAGAAAGAGTACATTTCAGTAATCGATTGGTCCGTGGAGGCAGAGCCGAGTGTCCCTGTGGGACAACAGACTGTGTCCCCCAGTGCTCAGAAGGACAGACCCAGGGAACTGCCCCTTCTGGACTCCAGCCCTAGCCCTGCCAGTTATCAGCTGGGTGACGCTTGGCCAGTCACTTTCCCTCTGTGCCTCAGTTTCCTCATCCGTAAAGTGGCATTCATAGTCCCTGCCTGTCAGGGCTCTTGCGAGGACAGAATGTGATTGCGGGCGGGGACCATCCGGCAGAGTGCAGGGAGCACCCAGACTGAAATGGGCACCGGGCCGCCAACGTGCAGAGACGCGCTGAGGGCGGCTGTCTGATGCCTCCAAGACGTGGTGCGAGAGAGCCTGCCGCCTGCACCCCTTGGGCCGTGCCGGAGCATGGCCGCCGCTCTGGCCACAGCTGTCTTACGGGTGCTGGATCCCGTGCCTGTGAACCCTTTTGTCCTTGGCTGTGGCAGGCACACCCAGTGCCTCCGGACTAAAGGGAGTTTCTGTGTGGGTCTTTGTCTCAACAACTCTATTTTCACAACGGACTCCTTTTAGACTGATCAATTTGAAGAAGTGGGTGAAACTCCCCCCACCCCCGAGCACAGATTGCAACTGCACACGGCTCTAGCTCACACATATGGCAGCCAAGAAAAGGCTGTCTCTGTGGCTCCTCCGCTTCCAGCGGAGGGCAGACCCCCACAGCCTCTTTGTTTGGGCTTTTTCCTTCTCAAGACAAAACTCCGGCTCTAGAGAAGCCAGATCTTGGCATCAGCCCACGGACACCGCACTGGCCATGTGGCCCCTCGGGGCCTCGGCTCCCTCACCCGTTAGATGCTTAGGTGTGAAAGAGCCAGGGACGGTGTCGGGACCATGGAAGCTCGGCGAAGAGCGGCCTAAATCAGGAACGCTGTAGGGGGAAGCTTGTCTTGCAGGGTGAGGCCGTAGCCTCCCATCCCTTACCACCGCTGGACTTCACGGTATGGGACCAGTTACCCAAACCCTCCGGGCTTCCGTTCCCCCGAATCTGAAATGGTGGGCGATAGCTGTCTGCGCGGGCCCCTGTGACGGGTGAGTAGGGAGCTGTGTTGAGACGGCGAGCTGTGCGCAGGCGCTGGGTACCGCCACCCCTCCGGTGCCAGGCTTTCAAGGTGCAGCCCGCAGTCCTCGGCCAGCCTGCCCATTTGCTTTATCCCCACGGTGTTCACCACCACCACCACTATCATCATCATCGAATGATTTGTCAACATGTAAAAAGTCAAGGGATGTCATATAAAAATTGGCATTTCCAGCATTGTTCCTGCTTGGCCTCAGTCATCCAGCTCCTGACATTTATGGGACTTTGGCAGGAGTACAAGTGGAGGCTCGTATCCCACGTGGCTAAACATGTAAATAACACGGTGAAGCTTCAGAAGTAGAATACGTTCAATCTATCCTACCTTGACAAGGCTCTCCCCCTCATGACCTGGGAGGCCGGCCTGGGATTCGGAACTCTAGGACTCTGTGGGGTTTGCGCTGGGAAGCGGAGGTGTGGCCATGCCTGCTCCCGCCCCCCATCCACGCCCCGGCTCCTCCCCACCATCTGAATGCTCGGGCTGTGGCTCTTTGTCCCCAGACTACCCTCCCTTTTGCTGTTGCTTGGCCCTCAGTGTCATCTGTCCGTCAGAGAACAGACAGCATGGGGCCATTGGAGCAGGGAATTTTAGGGTCACAAGTACTCAGAATGTGGTCTAGACGGGTGGCTTGGGTTCCAGGTGCATGTGACTGACCCTCTGTGGACTTTTGATTCCATAGGGAGGGCTGCAGCCACAGGAGGGGCAGAGGAGGGACCCCCAGAGCATGGGGCCCCGGGCAGGGGCACCTCTCGGTCTCAGCGTGGTACTGGTGGGCACTGGCAGGAGCCGTGCCCGCTGTGGGTGCGGGTAGACGCCCCTGTGTGCTGCAATCCCCGCCACTCCCTTTTGCTCACGACCGGTCAGTTTTGCCTGCTTGGTCACAGGGGGAATTGTGTTCGAGAGGCCGGATGAGTTGTTGGAAGGTTCTTGCTGCCTTGTGCGGTCCTGACCAGTCTCTGGCCAGTCACCCTGAGCCCCACCCCACCCATTGGGACAGTTAGGGCGCTTTGCATCTTCTGTTGCTCTGTCTCCAGAAGTCTGGGTCAAGAGTCTTGTCCGGGTGTAACATTCCTCGCTCCGCCACCGCCGAATCCCTGAGGGACGATGGCTGGCATAAACCCTCATCGGCGGGGTTTGAAAGCATTCTGAGTTAATTAGGAGAAATAAGGCCGAGGGCTTAAGGGCTATTTTCTTGCCGGAGTTTTCACAGTTGAACTTTTTCTTTTCTTTTGAGCAAAAGTGGTTATTTTCTTGTGGAGATGGCTTGCCTGGGACTGTGTCCTGGAGGGTGGCCAAATCCGTCCTCCGGGGAACAAA